ACTCCACAGGTAATCATACTATTACCTCTTTCTATGTTTCTTATTTGTTTCCCTGTTCCCACAGGCCAAAAAAACTTTTTTTTCCCTTTTTTGGTTTCTTTTTGAGGAATCACAACATCATAATTCATAATAGCGTGTTTTCTGATTGTAGGTTATGAAGCCCAATTTACTCAGAGATGGTTTTGAGCTTGTTAAACGGTTAGCTTTAGTTCTTAGCTCTGGGTAAATCAAATTTATGATATTGTTATACTGCTCAGTTCTCTAGCTGATTTAATTTTGCCATCGCAGGGATGGCCTTGAAGTCACTGATGATGTATCCATTGTAGAATATCTAAAACACCCTGTCTATATCACGGAAGGCTCTTATACAAACATTAAGGTATTCCAGAATAATATTCTGAACTATAATGTTCTGAACTGCTTAATTTGAAGAGAGCTGTGAAATGTGAATTTATTGCAGGTGACTACTCCTGATGACTTGCTACTGGCTGAGCGCCTGATGAATGAGAAGTAGAGCTGATAGGCAAAATTAACTGTTTGCCTGATTTTACAGACAAGTACGATTTTGTAGTACGGCATTCATCCACACCTCTACAGTTTTGAAAACCGAAATAATTATGGAGCTCATACACGAGATAGCTGACCTCTTTGTAGACATTCTGTCATTATTTCTATATATATCAATGGAAAAATGGTCACGCTTTCTGCTGAGTTCATGCTTTGGCGGAAGAACTGGAGCTCAAGCTATGGTTATAATTTCAGTTTTCACACAATCTCAATGGAATCTAAAAACAAATCCATGGTGCATTTAAATTTAAGAGCTCCAATTTGTTAAAAGCATCATCAAACACTGATAAGAAAACAAAATTATAAGGCAATTGTATACCCATGAGGTAGTTACAGCCAATTCAATTAGCAATTCAGCACAGCCGCCTCAACAACTTTTGGCTGGCAAATATGAGTTAGTGGTTAACAGGAAGATTCCTCGAGGAAAAAATGGTTCAGTGGTGTTGCCCTGTTGGAGAACATTGAGGTATATGTAATTCAAAACAAGGAAGATATTAGCTGCCTACTGACCATATTTACGGCAATCTAAATGATGACGAACATTCCTTACAAACAGCACGAGACCCCGAAGGTTTTCCCTAGAAATCATAGCGGCTCACTTCTGTGGAACTTGGCACCTATGCACTTGAAGCTGAGAATTTTACTAAGGATTTCACCTCAGAGGCTTCAGTCCCTGCAGAGAAAGATAAAACAGTTATGATGATGTTTTTGTAATTAGGGTATTGTATGTAGGAAATTAGTGAAATGAATAATCTTTAAAGCTTTGTCAACACTCAGAACTTAAGGATGCCATAACATAATTAGCCTATGTTTTAGCTGACATACTCCAAACCAAATACTCTAATATTTGTAGAAATCGGTTGACTTGTCCTGGATATGGGTGGATGGTGCTTGTACATTGTACTTGCAAGTAAAGATTGCTCAAGTGGCAATCAAGGCGTGTCACATTAATGTGGAATTACTAGCCATCTAATGTGCTTAAAATTTCTTTGTTAAAGTACTGTAGGGTATAAGACAACGTAATGGACCTGGGCACCTCGCTATCACCAGCGGTCTGTTTAGGCAAGGACCTCATAGTAACATCTTAGCTTAGTACCCTAGGTTACTATGTGATATGATTGCTTTTCCTGGGACTCAGATTTTAGAGCCTAAAGTTTGGAATGTGCTATCCTCTAGTCAATGAATAGGCATTTGTGGCCACATATTTGCATAGTTACCTTTGAAGCTCGCAGTTCATTCGCGGCCGTTCGGAGAGAATCATCTGACAGAATCAGTCTTGACAAAGCACCAGTGCTTAGGCTGCATTACAGTCACAGTTCACTGAGATAACTATCAGGTGGCTTGAATCTAAAACTATAGCGAATATATGGGAGTAGAATATGGGAGTAACGTATTACCCTAAAATCTTTGCTGCATCTGATACAGAACCTTCAACAGCAAACAGCAGATCTAGTAAAGCTTGCATTCCCTGCCCAGTGGTAAACAAAGTACAAAGGGAGGTGTTTAAATATGTAAATAGCAAGGACCAAGGACAGCAAAACACATGCATAATGAATTAGGCGTTGACTTATTAAAACAGGAGCATACTGGAGAAAATTTTGAGTTATTTGGACCAATCTGGGGGCCAACATCTTTTCCTCGAACGGTGGACTTCAGGGGCAATATCTGAAGAAGCTCAACAGGTGGAGTGTAGTCCTCCAGGTTTATCAGCCTCCTAACTGACAGAACGACGTCGTTAATGATCATGGAACTTAGATCCATCAGGCAGCATAAGAACTTAAAATGGAAGCAAAGTGTCTTAAAAGACCACTTATTATCAGCACTTGAGCTCTTATGAAGCTGGGCTATGATTTGTATGCGACTCATGGTAATATATTTGGAGGCATAATCTTAGATGGTTCTTGAATTAGTTGAACTGATATATTGTTCCTTTTCTGAAACAAAGCATAACTTGGAGAACATTAGATTTTTTTTATACCTTTAAGAGCAATCAGGGTTCGAAGCCGAGATAAAGCAGACGCTCGATTCTTATGTTGTGACCGATCCTCCACAGCCTGTGTGGAATTTTACAAATAAAATAGGGGAGTTGTTATAATTTTCAGGCAACAATCTTACACAACCAACTAGTACAATTAAAAGAATAACTTACAAGAGACAATTCATAATTTTTTTTTCTATAGCCAAATAATGAGAAATTAAATGTTGCCTAAACAACAACAAAACATCAGGCACCTGAAATATAGGGCGTACCCAGTGCAGAGAGCTCCCGCTCTATGCGGGGTCTGGGGAAGGGTGTCAGTGGCGAGCCTTACTCTCGCCTGTGCAATGCGAGGAGACCGCAACTCGAACCCGGGACCTTCTGGTCACAGGCGGTAAGACTCTACCGCTTGCACCAGGCCCGCCCTTCAGGCACAGAAGAAAAGAACTACTTCGAATGTTCTACTACAATAATAACAAAAGAAAGTACGAGATGGCTAGGCCTAGGCAATACAATAAACTGGGCAAAAAAAAATTAAGCGTTCAGTTTGTGTGAAGTTCAAATGATTCGTAATTGCAGTCATTCAACCTTCCAGTCATTCAAATTGAAGGAACAATCATTGTATGAAGCGATTGAGGTAACTGAGAATGGAAAGCTAATTCAGCAACGTTAGCTACCTGGGCGATGATGCCGGTGGGGAGGTGTTTCAGCCGGACGGCGGACTCGCGCTTGTTGCGGTGCTGGCCGCCGGGGCCGGACGCCTTGAACGTGCCCATGTCGCACTGCTCCATGAGCTCCTCGTCACTCATCCCCAAGTAGTCTACGTGGCCGCCGCCGCTCTTCGCACCATCCTCTTCCCCGTCGCGGCCGCCCCCGCCGTTGCTGGGAGCATCCGAGCTGGTGGACACGGACGAGGGGGAGAGGGAGGAGAGGAAGCGGAGCTGGGACTGGGACTGGGAGGGCGCGTGGCGGCGGAGCAGCGGCAGCGGCTGCGGCAGGAGAGGAGGGTAGCGGGCTACTCGCAGCAGGAGCAGCGCTCGAGCCATTTCCGGGCGGGGCGGGCGGCGGTGGGCGGAGCGTCACCGGAGGTCCCAGATGGGGTCCATGGCGGAGTTGATCTGATATGGCAACGGCAACGATTTTTTATGGGCTCGGGCCCGGAGCCGGACGGACGAGGCGAGGAAGCCTGTTTTTCATGTGGGGGCGTCTCCGGGCCACGCACGGCCCGCGGAACAGACATTGGCCAATTTCGTGTTTTTTCGGTCTGGAAAAAATCGAGTGCTCGGCGGCCCGGAGCCTGAACCGCTGAACGCCTGGTGCGACCTTGCTGGCGTTGCTGGTGGTGCTCTGTCAAGGGCCAGCCGCCGAATGCGCTCGGACGGTGGAGGTTTTTGTGGCGAGGCCAACGAGCAGGAACGAGGACGCCGGACGGCCGTTTGCAAGGGCGAAGCGACCACGAACCTCTTGTGCGGTCTTAGCGCAGGGCGCAGCCAGGCAGCCGGAGTGGCCGGAGTCGGATATAACGCTGTTGCTCCGGCGGCTCGCACACGGGGGAACGCCCAACACTAGTAACGCCACGGCGCTACATGCACAGGACCACCGCACTGACGGTGCACGGCCACGCGGGGCGCCGGTGGCCCGGATGGGTGCGCCGGCGCGCCACGAGTTCACCTCAACTTGCCGACCCTGCCGAGAGCCTGTGACGTCGCCCTCTGTGGACGGCGGTACGTAACGCCCAAGCGCATGCGCGTGCTGCGGTTACCCTGGAAGGCTGGAACCCCAAGTCCCAAACACCATGGCGCGCGGCAACAACGCAACCGCCAACCGCGCAGTCCGTCCGTTCGTTCGCGGACACCGGGCGCGTGGGCGTTCCTCGAATTCATCTTCACCTAACGCACAGCATCATCAAGTATTCAAGTCATCACGCAAGTGCGCAGAGGCCACCCCAGACAACAAATACTCTGCACATGCAAGCCAAAGCATAGTATGGAGAGAGAAAAAAACAGATTTCGGATAATCATATTCGATCCACGGAAATGCTATTCGCCATTTCCCAACATCCTTATCCTTACACAGTAAGCTACGCATTTCAGCAATTCAGAACCAGTGCAAATCCTGGCTCCGCACACACGAGCAGATGTAGGAACTGGGAACAAAGACTACAGCCACTACTCATTGCACGACACCAACAATGAAGAAATGGTCAGTTGAGAGGTACCTTCAGTGACAGCGTTTACAGACTAGAGGGAGGAGGTCCCATGTCAACACTCAGCACAGGAGACATGCCCACGTTTTAGACACTGCTAGGTCGAACAGCTAATCAACAGATATATAATAATAACCATGAATGAAAATGCAGGCTTACAGACTAGGGAGCTACGCCATATCTAGGGATCTTGACGCCAGGAGGTGGTTTCTTCCTTCCTAGCAAGGTCGCCGATGCGATGCTCGTCGCTCACGCCCTGGCCCTCTTGTTGGTGCAGTCTGGGCACTTGTACTGCTTGATATGCTCAGCCCGAGCGGGTGTGATCTTGACACACTTCCCATGGTACCACTTCTCGCAGTTATCGCAGCAGATCCAGAACTGGTCCTTGCCGTCATTGGTTCCGCAGGTTCCACACAAGGTGTTGTCGTGCTCTTCCGCCTCCTCATCCCCATCGTCATCGCCGCTCTCTTCTTCGTCTTTGGGAACCTTAGCCTTTGAACGAGACTCTGCTCTTGACTGCTGCAGACACAATGTCAGTGTTATTAGCAAGAATTCAGGTTGGGTGGCAACAGAAAGTGGCTGACATTTACCACTTTTGAACTAGGCTTGTTGCTCTTGCTGCTACTGTTAGGTGTCTTCTCCTTCGCCTGCTTCTTGACCGCTCCTGTCACTACCTCAAATATTGTGGGCATGTTGTTTATCATGCTAAAGAGTCGCCTCCTGCATTACAACAATGAAGTATCATGAGAAATGCAACTGTGGAAGGTATAGACAAGCACAACCACTAGTGACTAAAAATAGAAATGAAAAAAACACCTTTAAAGTTTAAACATGCCAAAGTTCAACAGACCTCAGCCTGCAGAGTATGTTTTTGTCAAGATCCACATGCACCAACAGCAGTGAAGAAAACAGATTCTTTTTACACAATACTTGCTAAGGAGGGGAGGGGAGATAATCTAGTAAGTAGATATTGATCATGTACTCTGGCAATTTTCATAAATGATCCATGTATTGCGCCTATGTAGATTTCTGACAGACAATTAAGCAAATTATCTTTTATCTCTTACTGTTCTTCCATTATCCAATGCAATCATTATTTAAAACTAATGTCGCTATCCGCTAATGGTAGACGATCGCACCTGGATGCAATAAGTGGCCAAATAGTTGGAGTAAACCCTTTATGATTGATGGTGAGAGAACAAATGAAGTGTTATGAATGACAATGTTTATTACTAAAAGGGAAACAATAAGTTACACAAATCAGTCACCCAATACCTAATTCTTAACAGTATACTCCAAATTGATCATTCTACTAGGGAGCTGCTATGAGTTAATTTTCAGTGGTTCTAAACATGAAATTTACTTCAATCGACTACACTAATTCCGTAACATGGTGCATTATATGGTTCACACTCTACGTCCAGTTTACAGTTTCACAATTCAAATTTGCAAAATGTACTTGAGTATCTCTGGATGTGCATCATGTTGCACTCAGATAACCACATATTGTTACCAAATAAGCAACATGTTTTGTTTCTTGTACAGCTGCCCTAGTTTAGCTCTGCTGCCCACCTCGGGCATGCTTTCTTTTGTGTCTCCTTTTGTACAGAGTTGTTGGTGTTTTTTCTGTTATTAAAAGCTTACAGTGGGGGCCTCCCCTGCTGTATTTTCTGCTAAAAAAAAGCAACATGAGAGCAGTATTTACTCTTGAGTGCTAAAAACTCCATTTCTCAAATTAAATCCATCTTTCAAACATCAATGTGAAGATGCATGCCTATAGTTGGTTTACCAATAACCAGGGCATAGTAACTACCACATATCGATAATGCAAGGTCAAAGAGTGAAAGGTCCAGTTTAGTACGGCAAGGATACGAACAAGGTGGTAATCGTGGAACTTTATGTAATGTTGATTTCAGTGTAGTTAACTAAGCATATACCTAATATTAATTGCATGTAAATCAATATTAGCACCGTTTATCCCTGCAGGCATGCGACATTTACATTCACTGCAGTTTTTTCCTCCATTTGACACTTGATAGCCAGTAAATACAGGTTAACAATTTTCTATGGCAAATGGCAACAATGTGATGCTGTAAGTATATGACGGTTGTGGCATTAGGAAGCGGGGTCAAACACAAATTCTGCTATATGAGCGCTTTCACTACTGCATATATTTACCATTCTAAACACCAATTGTCTCGCCTTATACATGAAAGATAGAATTGGATGTAATTTTAAGAATAGAGAAGGAATGCAATCTACATTACAACATTTATTATGCAGTGATTGTCAGGGTAAAGGTGGTGGCACAATTATGCTAAAATATAATTACCATGTCCTATTTGCTACCCGTAGAAAGTGAGTGAAATGATTGAACATGATAGTAAAATGATTGCACATGATTACCCATTCTGTATGATTAAAAAAATGTTAAACAACATTTTTTTAAGTAAAATGGTATTTCTAAAGTATCAGACCTCCTATACGCATTATAGACTATAGTAGAAGAATTCGAATTCCTAACTGAGAAGAGAATTGTAAAACGAGCATAATAACAGAGCCAAAGGAAGGAGCAATCACCCAAAATCCCACGATATGGTAATTCTAGTATTCTACCTACCTTAACTTGCCAAATACACAAATGCAATCCCGGCTTCTTTACACAATCAACACTACAAATGTATGCTGATATGCAGCACATAATTTGTTTTATAATCCCAACATTCAAAATATTGTTCAAATTTTCAGAATTCAGAATGTAGATACTACTGTGTGAAAGCATTAAGGAATTGACCAAATCTTGTGTAAAGATTTTGTTCCCAGACTTAGGTGGAAGCCATTTCCATATGAAATTAATTATAAAAGTTGCTCTAACTTAACAAATATGTAATTAAGATGCATATGTACTTTCTAGTATGCCAAATTCAGATTAAAACATGCCAGCATAGGAAGGAACAAACAACAATGATTGATTATGAAAACTGCATAGTTCAATCATAGCAGAAGAATTACCTAGCTTCTCTGTCAAATCCAAACCGTGCACCAAAGTAGAATGCAACAGACAGTAACCAGGAATCACTGTGGACTGCAACTAGCGCCAGCCAGTCCTTCTCATTCATACCATCCCTAGCAAAGTTGATTCCTAAAGCTGGTTCAGGGATCTCTGGGGGCACTTCCTCAGCTGGTAAGGTCACCTCCCACGTCTCATTGGGATAGCCATAAAGGCACAAGTTCTCCTTTTCTGTTCAAAACCAAAGGAATTAGTAGTCATAACAAGATATGGCATGTCATCATCGAGCAGCTATCAAAACTTATAGAAGTTAGTCCTACACCAACTGGGCACTGCTGCAAACAAGAGTGCAAAGGCTGAAGCAGAGAACACTGCGGACCAAGCCATAATATTTAATAATGAGAAGCAACCAAACTCCACAATAATAATAATTACATGAATAGGGGCAAGCAGCTCTGTTCGGCTGGTCTACAAGCCACTTGTGCTGATTTGTACGGCTGATATGTTGGGAGAGAAAAATACTGTACCATCACTGGTAAGGGAACTGTTATAATGGCAGCCACACATTCAGCCAGTCGTACAGTGCCATCAATACACTAAAGAAAAAGATTTGCTGAATCACTACCAATCCACATTATGTCACTGACTCCAGTAAATTGACTGCGCCAATAACTACGTAGTAGCATAAGAAACAGCAGACAAGACATACTAGTTCAAAGCAATCATATAGAAACCAAGCACGCAGTAGACAGTCGATAATCCCATGGCACCAATCAGTCAAAAATCTCTAGTGATTTTCTGCAATCAAGCTATGAATACAAGATTGATGGCAACACCCATAGTGCTAACAACCTAACAGCAAAAGAAATGGCAGCACTAGTTCCACAGTTCCAACCAACACACACAGACACGCAAAAAGAAACGTTTTTCACTCGACAAAACTGTCATCTTGGGCCCCAATCTCTCACCAAAATCGAAAAGCTACAATCCAGCACAAGCACAGCATTAACGAAAGCTATAAGGCCACCAATAATTCGAATCCGAAGCGTGTGGAGCGAGTGAGGGAAAGAGGAAAATTCTCCAAATTTAGCTTCCAATGTCCCACCAAAGCAACGAAACCCAAGCAGCAAAACCACGGAAGCCTACTCGGCTCCCAATTCCCATCCCCGGGCGAGGAACCGAAGAGATCGAGCGCACTCACCGGGGTCACAGAGCTTGAAGAACCTCTCCACATCTGCACAGCACAAGAGAAAACACCGCATCAATCGCACGAATCCACTAAGCCGGGACAGAATCAGGAGGCCCAATCGGCGGGGCGAGCGGAGGCGTACCGGTGGTGAGCGCCTTGATCATGCCGGCGCGGCGGGCTTTGTAGTCGCGGAAGACCTCGTCCGCAGTGCGCGCGGCGTTGGGCGCCGGCCCGGAGCCCCCGCCGTCCATCGGGCGCGCGGCGCGCGGGCAATGGCAGCCGCTAGGGTTCCGGCTCGGGGACGGGCTGCGGCGAGACGAGCAGGCGGTCCCGCGGTGCCTGGTGGTAGAGGGAGCGGGGGGTGGAGGAGACGAAAAGGAGTTGCAGGAAGGGGAGGAATGGGTTTATATTTGCTGAGAATTTCGTTGGCGTTTCGGGGAGGATTTGGGCCCGGTTTATTTGATCCCTGTGTGGGTGCTCGGCGCAGAGCCAAAGCCGCTGCCGCCGTCCTCGTCGTGCTGTGTCCATTTACGGCCAGTAGACCCGGTCCACTGTAGACTAGGAGGGTTTCAATAGGTGGTCGGTTTTGTTTTTCCACGTTCATTTTTTATAACCGCCAAATCCGTATTCTGTTCGGTTGGCTGATTCGTATCGTTGCTGATTCATTTATGTGAGAGAGAAGCACTGCTGACTGGTTCTGATGAACAGTGCTTTTGTGAGGAGGCTGGCCAGCCCAACCCCAGCCAGCCAGCCTAGCGATCACGCTGTAGGTACGTACTCTTCTCATTCTAAATTATAGGATTGTTTTGATTTTTTAGATGTAGATATATTACTTTACAATTTATAATACATCTAGGTATATTTTCTCCGTTTCAAAATACTTGATCCTATAGCATTCAAATTTTGTCCCAAATAGTTATCACTATCACTACACAATGCATTCTCTCTCCTAATATATATTTTCTCTTTTTTTTCAATACATCTCCGTCTCTACTTTTTTTAGGGGTATTGGTCTTTTGTCTTCTGAATTGGTCTTCGTAAGTGAGTATAAAACGTCAAAAATTATGGGATGGATGGAGGGAGTAGTGTATATTTAAGTACAAAGAAAAATCCCGCATCTAGAATAGCTAAAACGGCTTAGAATATGGAATGTAGAGAGTACTGATTATGAAAGGTCTATGTCACTCATCTTGAAGAAACCAAGCTGAAATAATTGAGATAAACAACAAGAAACACCAAGTAGAGTTTATTGTTTAACGTTGACAGATATAGTATAGCTGGTCATGCTATATTACAAACCAACCTCCAAGTGTCTGACTAAATTTGGTCAGTTCTAGTTCATCTGATATCCAGTAGGAGGAGTTGAACAATCGAGTTTCGGTCCATATGATCTTGCTAAGCTTTCAGATAGCGACACTGTGAACCTTCAGATACAATGTCGTGATCCAGAGATTCAGACAAGAGTTAGGGGTCTGAACACAGGAATTCAGTTGTAATATTCCAACGACAATGACATTCTTTGAGGCCATCTAGAGGACTTAAGTTAGAGGAGACTCATCCAATCGACCTGAAAGGGAGAAATACTGGATCCACGAATCCCAATCGCGCAGATTTGATTCGCTACGGTGCTAGATTAGGTCTGGTGAGACGATTAGGAATGAGAGGGTGTTGGGGACCTAATACTGGGGTACCCAATGAGGTGGAGCTAATAACCATCAAATATTGATGCTTTCGAACAGACAAGAACGCAACTGCACTTCTTGCCCGCACAACCAAGGTTCGCCGCGCCTCAACTGGCCCCTGAGGGTTGGCACCACCTCGCCCGACCCCCGAGGGCTGAACTCCGCCTCGCACGACGTCTGGGGGTAGACTCTGCCTCGCCCGATGGTGGAGGGCTGGCTCCGCCTCACCCGATGTCTGGGGGCAGACTCCGCCTCGCCCGACGATCGGGGACTGGCTTCGCCTTGCCCGACGATCGGGGACTGGCTTCTCCTCGCCCGACCCCCGAGGGCTGGACTCTACCTCGTTCGACGTCTGGGGCCAAACTCTGCCTCGCTCGACGGCCGAGGGCTGGCTCCACCTCGCCCGACGTCCCAGGGCTGGTTCCGCCTCACCCGGCGTCTGACGGCAGGCTCCGCCTCGCCCGATGTTTGAGGGCTGGCTCCGTCTCGCCCGACGTCCCAGGGCTGGCTCCGCCTCGCCCGACGTCTGCACCCTGCTCCTTCATAATGACGAGCATAGGGTAAGACAGGACACTCAGGTCAATCGTAGTACCGAGGACCATACCCTACACGCCTGCGGGAAAGTACCATCAGGATATGATGGGACAGGCGCTTTAAGTCCTTCCAGACATAGCCCGAACAGTGTTGTAGGCGCTGACTTTTCTCTTACAGTGTTGTGGGCGCTGCCATCAGCCCTCGGACACGGATCCTGACATAAGCATACTACAACCACTACAATCCAGGAGGGAACTCATATCACCTACAGTAGCGAACGTATGGTCACTACCTCGTTTGCTCCCCGTAGAGTCATGGCTCGGCACCCTGGCATGCCGCACCATCCGCCGGAGTAGGATGGGACATGACTACTTGTTGAACAAAGCCAGAGCACGGCCCTATCAGGATCAGCGAAAAGTGCTATCCCTGACACCGTCTGCCGTCTCAGCAGGGTAGGCTCAAGGGAAAAGGAAGACCCGACACCTGCGAAGGACCTTCTCTACCTCTGGTTTTTTCCTCTTTCTCCCATCTGTAACCCCTGCTCCCCCTTGGTTTATAAAAGGAAGGGCAGGGCACCCCGCTAAAGGGACGGATCAATCCTACACACCACGCACCACATAACACACAGCTGAGCAACAATCGAGCTCGCAGCGCCCCTTTGACCTTTCCATTAGAGACTTGAGACTTGTCCCTCTCTCAACCGTTTGTACCCCCTACTACGAACCTTTTTCAGAGCTAATAACACGAGCAGCAGTAGACTGGACGTAGGGACATTCTGCCCAAACCAGTATAAATCTTGTGTCCTTTAGCACACCATCTGGGCCTAACGCGCAACAAATATAAATTTAATAGTTGGTGTTTACTCGAAACACCGACAGTTGGCGCGCTAGGTAGGGGACCTTTGTGCGTTCTGACGATAAACATGAGGCCACGGATGGCTAGCCACGGTATCAGCTGGGTCCTAGGCACACACGTGCGCTTCGGGAATCTAGACTTCATCATCACGGTGGGAGAAGAGTTGGCATTGGCTCACACCGCCATCCAATCTCTCCCCTCCATCGGCCTCAACCACAAGAGGCTTGAGTGCCAGCTCGGTGTCTCCCTTGGACCCCAGCAGTCCAAGGAGGACCAGCGCCGCCTCACCCTTTCCGATGCCAACGACATGGCATGGTTTCTGGAGGAGGGTCCCTCTCTCCGGAACACCACATACCGAGCGCCCCGACAGCGCTTCCGTTCGATCTCTACAATGCTGCGACGACCGTTAGCCACCTTGTGGCATAACGCATGGTCTTGCCGCCCACGAACAACGAGTTCGTGGGGGTGATCGAACACGTCACAGAATCCCTCCACAACCTCCTCACAGATGGGTCGTGGTCGTCCTCTAGCTCTGACTCCAACAGGGGGAGCCATCACCCCTCCCGAGAATGCTTCATGACGGGTACCCCTGAGGGACACATCGAAAGCGTCCCTGCGGAGGTGGCTACCCCGACGGGCAACCTCGGCGACAAAACCAAAGGGGAGACAGCGGTCCCACCTCGCATGGGGGTGGAGCAGCTGAGAGCCCGACAGTAGGAGATCGAGGAGGCACGACTCCAGCTTGTGCAGGAATGTGCGGAGCTCGATCAGAAGATCGAGCGCCGCGGAGACGGTGGGCGCGCATGCGCCATGGCCCGTGATGTAAACCGAAGGATCATCGCCGATGATGAAGCCCTTCCTCGCTTCGCCCGAGCAAGCCAAAACATCACCGCTGCGACGACCTTGCTCCCTAGCCTTCCAAAGGCCACGACGCCTGAGGATCATCAGGCCTACCGTGAGATTCGCACGCTACTCGAGCGTGCGGTGGCACAGCAGGCTAAGAGCTCATTGTCTCGATGACGCGAGCTCAACACCAACCAGCGCACAACCTCGGCGCGCCCCACCAGGGACACGTTAGTCCACCAAGCACCACAAGGCGGCAGGCAACACGCCACGCTCCCGGTACATCAGCGTCTCAGCCGCCACCGCAACGCATGCAACACTCTCGATGCCCATAGACGTACCTACGGTGACCCGAGAGAAGAAGCCCACCGTGGCTATCATCCTCGTCGCGGCGAACGCTACGACAGCGGCGAGGACCAGCGCCCGAGCCCTGGCCTGCCAGGCCCTCAGGCCTTCGGCCGGCACATCCTCAACGCTACCTTCTCACCAAGGTATCGGCCACCAACCAATATCCCGAAGTACTCTGGGGAAACAAACCCCGGATTATGGCTCGAAGACTATTGGCTTGCCTGCCAAGCCGATGGTGCGGATAATGACGACTTCATTATCCACAACCTTCCACTGTTCTTAGCCGATTCGGCATGAGCGTGGTTGGAACACCTGCCGTCCAACGTGATCCAGAGTTGGATGGATTTGAAGGAGATCTTTGTGGGAAACTTTCAGGGCACATACAAGCGCCCTGGGAACCCATGGGACCTTAAGAACTGCCGTCAGAAGGCCGGTGAGACCCTCCATGGGTACATCCAGTGCTTCTCCCGACTGTGCAACGAGCTATCGAACGTCGTCGATGCCAACGTGATAGGGGCTTTCCTGTTTGGGACTACCTGCGAGTCTTTGGTTCATAAGCTGGGATGCAAGGGCCTGCGAACCACCAAGGAACTCTTGGATATGGCCACCAGCCACGCATTAGAAGAAGAGGCAGTCGGAGCAATCTTCGGTCATCTCGAGGGCAAGGCAAGGCGGGACGAGGGCGCCGGCGAAGGCACCTCCAACCATTCCGCCAAAAGGAAGAACAAGAAGCAACGGCATGAGGACTCGCTCGTGGCCCCTACTGACCGCAAGGGTGGTCGGAAGCCCGTGGAGGGCACTCCGAACCACTTCGAAAAACTACTCGAGGGGCCATGCTCGAACCATGCCTTCCCGGTTAAGCATCTGCTCAAGGACTACAGCCTCATGCGGTGGTTCTTGTCTGAAGGTTCCAACCAAGGGGAGCACGAAAAGGACCCTGCCCCCACCACGGACGACGCCGAGAAGGACAATGGCTTTCCAATGCCGGA